CCTTCAGAATGTAAATCTGATATGTTTAAATAGGGACCCATTGAAAATAAAAATGTGTTTGCAAGTTGTCATATTTTCTTCACATGAATTCATTCAAATATTTATTGAATATGATGATGCATGCAATCGAACTAAATATCCACAAAAAATATATGCAGGTCTACCTTTTTCATCAAATCCTTCAGGCCAAAAACTAATAATTATTAAAAGAACCAAATAACTGAGATGATTATATCATCCCTTGTGCGATCGAATTTAGGAGGAATGTTTGATTAAAAATCGATAATCATAGTCGGAGGTCTAAATGTTTTGAGTAAAAACAGTTTCCTATTACTGATTCCGCATTACTGCCTTCTAAAAACAGGAAAATGGACATCTAGTGAAAATGAAATCTATTAAGTGAATTGTAATGCGATTTGGAGGTAATAGGTGTGAAAATGTGAAATATTCCTGTTAAGACTAACATCAACAAGTCCGAGGCTTAGCAGGTGCTAAAAGGGCTCAGTGATATCAAGAGGGTATAAGGAACTAATTGAAAAAGCACTACATAAAATAAATAACAAATACAAAAGGATTAGCACTAAATCCATTTAGATTTCAAACACAATATTGAGTTTCTTTGCGAGAATTTTTTTGGTGATTTTTAAATCTCATTCATGATCCCTGGCATAGACTGACATTTTCTCAATATTTATACAGCGTATAAGAATATAGAGCTGTGTTTTATGAAAGCTTTCGCACAGTAAGACACAGGGATGAATGTTTTGAAAGAGACATGTAGCTACCTGGTTCCATTTACGAGCAGAAAGGCTCCAACTGAGTAGCAAAACACGAGATCGGAAACATTGTTTGGGACTTTTTGCTTATGTTCTCATTCACTTGGGACAGATAACAAAAGCTTGGGAATGGGTGCTAATTTGATTGAGACCAAAATTCTTACAAGGTTTCAACCCAGCATGTTCTCTGCTTGGAATTTCAATTGTTATTTATCATGTTTCAGTTTTTACATAAGACACTTAATGTAAAACTGAAACAATGAAATACTGAAAATAATGTTCTTAAACTACATGCGAATAACTAAATGTGAATAAGTAAATGTGATATGAAAAGAGTAACAATATATGTTCTTTCTTTTTTGTTTCTACATATCAAGGAATGCCCCCCCCCCCCCCGAGTGAAAGAACCTTGTCAGGAGATATATTGAAAACGAAGCTCTCTTTTAACCTCTTGAATCCCAGGTTCTAAAATTGGTTTGAAACCAAGGAATTTTTCATTTTTGGCAGAATTTGACGTACATTTAGTACAGGCTAGGTACATTCCAGTGAGGCCTCTTTCTATGACATACCCCCGCACCCGGTATAACAAGACGTATGTGGTACCATTTTGTTCGGTATGATGTGAAGTTTTCAGAAACCAATTTTGACATTTTCAAATATGGGTCGGATTCCAGATAATTAGCATAATGTTACATAATTTATTGTTTTCTATGTTTTATATTTTCAAGGTTTAAAACAGCTATGGTTAGGTACTTATCAAAGTATAACAACAGATAATGGTGGTAATGCTTTCAGAAAAAATTGATGACAAAATTTAAAAGAAATTTATAATCAATATTAATCATAATTATGTAATTATTATGTAATAATGTTAAAAATGTGAAATTAGACGTTGCAAGACATGCTTTAATGCAATAAACTGGTTTAACTTCAACAAATACAAAAAAAATGTATAAAAGGATGTAATAGCACAACTTTATTTTCACAATTTGTAAACATAATTAATATGAGGATATAATATTATGTAATATATACAGACTTATAGATTTTCAGCATCTATTTGACATACAGTAACCGTTTTATCAGAGTCACTATGCAGAACTTATGGCCATCCAGATAGGATGGTCTTGCTGAATGCATTCAACAAAAGGTTATTTGTAGCTAGTTTATTTAATACTTTGTTATCCCACCAAACAGAGTTTGAGGAATATAGAAAAGCCACTCATCCGTCCGTAAGTGTGTTTAGGTGAATCATGTGATTTTGTTAAGTCTAAAGATTTTACTTGGTCAATCCAAATTGGAATTTTGCTCGATTCTTTTCTTAATTTACATTAAAGATACACCATTATCATATGCCATTGAGTGGAAAACTAGTCTGGTATCGCATTCCTAAATCCGTACTGGAGAAAGAAACGTATCATAGTAAACTAAATTTAGTAATTTACCATAATAAACATGCATGTATGTTTTCAGAAAAAATATCCTAATATACTGTTGTTGAATAGAGGTAAATTCAAATAATTACTAAAATATAATTTTAATTCAGGTAAAATGAAAATTTTTTGGAACGATACTAATTCAGGATGGTTGCAGGGGTTGAACTCTGTAATCATTGAACAAAACATATTGCAACCATTTACATTTCAATGTAAAATGGTTGCAGTTTACAATGGTTGTAGATTACAATGATTGTAAAGAAACGGTTGCGCAGTCGTTGAAAAAGAGTTGACTTCACTTGGTTGAACGCAATGGTTGGACAATGATTGCTTATCATTGTACAATGGTTTTTCCTTTGATCTTTAGTAGTTGAAACAATCAGTATTCAATGATTGATAGAAACGGTTTAAATTCAGAATTTCAAGGTTGAATTTTTTATTAGGGATTACTTAAATACCGATTGACATATTTGATTCAAATTTTATAGGCTTATGCCTTATGGGTGTAGGACCTCTGCTGGAGAAGGAATTATCAATATGACTCCTCAATTTAAAATGGCCACCTTTTTTTGTAAAAATACAAAAAATCTCAGTGGTATTGAGAAACCTGGAAATATTGGTTTTAATAGTGGATGCTGCAATCAATAACTTTGATCAAAAATGAAGACACTATTGATGGGAAGGGATCAACACATTCTATGGCCATGGTCTTGTATAAATGATCAGAAAACAATAATGATAACAAGGTGCCGAACAGAAAAACAAACATGACTTCTCTGGAAGACACAGATATATGTAACTATAAAAACCAAAGGTTGTTGAGTTAAACCAAAAGTGACACCAACACCGAATCCCATTTCATCAAAAGAAAATATAGAAATGATGACAACCTCCAGTTTCTACCACAGTACAATCAAATCTGACCTAATGTGGAGACTTGTGAGGCATATGAGACAATCAGAAGGCCCAAAAAGGCCATTTACAGGGTGGTAAAAAAAACTTACGCCATTTTCCTCATATCTTTGTCATTTTAAGAACTGATATTTTACACATTTGTACATAATTCAATTTTCTACCAGCCTACTATATTTCATGACCACCAGATTGATAGTCACAATGTTACAGCACTTTAAAGAACATACCCCAGTGGCCACTATTGTGCTTTCAGCAAACCTGCACATGTAGTCCAAAATGTCCCTACTTGTTGGGGGATACGGCAAAGATAGAGTGTATTAGAATGACCTTAGGACAATTGCAGACCTCAAAAGTGAGATCATTCGTGTCATTCAGGCCATATCTGCTGAAGAATGCATTCGGATCATTGACAATTGTGCAGGTTTTACTACAGCGTGATATGAGGGAGTAATATTTTAAAATGACAAAGATATAAGGAAAATGCAGGGTTTCCATTTTTTGACCACCCTGTACATGACCATAACAGCAACTGGCTCTTACAGTGCAGAGTATATGGAGTACATCCCCAATGTCAAATCTGGACATAGTGCTCACATAGCAAAGCCCAAACTTTGGAAACCAGAAGGCACCGAATGCTACTTTTTTGATGGAAGTCTGGTTCCTAAGATGATTTTGAGAGCATCTGCCTTGTAGATGCCTTTTTTCAGGATTATTGTGCATGTCTATCTGTTCCTGTGAGGTGGGTAATTGCCAAAACACAATGATGGTGGAGGAAAAACCATATCCAGATGTTTAGAATAAAGATGTATGAAATAATCACATCTTCATATTATATAATGATTCTATTGAAAGATGTAAGTCCTTATATGTAAAAACTTGATATTTATCATGTTTAAAATTATCATAACAGTTACCTGATTTTTATATGCATGAATATTTGGATAAGTATACTAGTATCTGAATAAATGTTTAATGATATTATCATTGTGTCTTAATACACAATGTTATTTGCTGCTACATATGCATGACATATAATGTTTACAATAAGATTAAGTCTTTTTATGAAGGTTTGTACTCATAATAAGATATTATTGCTTGAATTAGTTTAGCACATGAGGTTTATATCATTTAGAACAAAAATTCTGTTATCTTAAAAACGAAAGCAATTCAAATTGTAATTTTACTCATAAAACAATGGAAATTATGTAATAATTACATAATTCTAAGTCCAAACTATTTTTGATAATTATCAAAATTTATTTTAAAGTATATAGACAATTAATATTTGCTTAGCTCATGATTTCTTTTTATCATTTCCTTTAAAAATGCTTTACAAAAAATGCTATGTCATAATAATAGATTACATAACATTATGTCATATTTATCGAATCTGACCCATATTTCAATCTGTCAAAATTGGTTCTTGTAATGTACTCAGCAAGACGAACAATTTGATACCCATGACGACTTGTTATACTGGGTGCGGGGGTCAAGTTGATATTTGGCTCATAGGTAGCCTGCACTAATTGCGATGCTCAATTTAGTGAAATTAGTTGGCAGAGATAATTTCTACATATCTTAGAACATTTTTGGCATGAATTGGATGAAAATTTTCAAATTAAAGCAATTTAAGTGAAAAATTCTGGGACGGATTTTCTCATCCTTTAGATTTCAAGGTCATTTCTAAGGTGACGAGAAACATCACCTGATCACCTTACTCTGGGTGGTCAAGAGTTAAAGAACCAAAATCAGACTATTTAAAAAGGTAGATTGGGCTCAGTCAGGGTATATAAAAGTGCACCCCATCTTTGAGATAACAAAGGGGGTGATACCCTGTCATGGGGGGGGGGAATACAGGTTAAACTGCACTCACCTGGTGGACAGTTACAATCAGCTTGTCTCTTAATTCTGTTCTTTACTTCTTGACTCTCTAATTTCTAAAAGTAAATTAAGATCATGAACTGGAATATATTTCATAATAACTTGGAAATTATAATTCAAAGAAAAATACATGCAAAACCATACTTGCTCAAGTTGGGAACTTTCCAAGATGCATAATACAGAACCACCAGTTTCTCCATTTAAATTGAACAGAAAGTATGAAATCAATGAAATTAATTAAATGTCTCTTAACATTCAGGAAGGGAGTTTTTTAAAGGTGGACTATATTCAGGAAGGGAGTCATATTTAGTCCTAAGCAGAGTCAAGATTGTAATCTATCTCCAATTTTCATTGAGGTCCATGATATAACCATTGATGTTATTTTCTCCATTCCCAAATGTGACGTCACAATACAGCGCAATACCAAATATACAAATTTATACAAATATATATATAAGATGATCAGTCATTCATATATGGAGAATTAGAGCATGGCTATGCTGCATTCTGATTGGTTGAGAAACTCATTTAGAGAATGGTCATGTTTGAATCATTTATATAAAGATCATGTGTATTCTAAATGTTTTCAATCATCCAGATAACTGTATATGGATTCAATCAACTGTATATTGTACAATCAATAATTCAATCAATCATGTATTATGCACAGATTCAATCAAGAAAAAGTTCCACATAAATTCAATCAATAATCTGTAAACTGAATCAATGCTGAATAATGATTTAATGAAGATATGTTGTATATTTTTACAATCAATGTGGACGCTGATTTAATGAACCATAATATTCAATCAAGCATGTTCTATATGCCAATGCAATGATTCAATCAACGGCATACTTTCAATGATCAATCATAAATAAGTCTCGCTACAAGCCTCTGTGACCCCCATCCCTCTACTTCTCTAAATACCTTCTCACATACTTGTTGGGAACTTGGGATGATTAGTGGGGGAGTCACAAGGGCTTGAAGTTATACTAATCATAAATATAGTATTGAATTACAATCAATAATCGCTTGTAGTGTTGGTTCAATGATTTGACAAGAAATACTTACTTCTTTCAGTTTTATGTCAATCTGTGTGTTTATATATTTTTCTAAGTTAACTTCCCTTTCTTGGTAATTTAATTCCAGTCGTTCTAACCTCGTTTGTAAATGTACAAGTTTCTGGGTATATGAAATCACACTCCATGTTGCAAATCCAGCAAGTGTCAAAATTGTCAAGATTACTAAAACTAATCTAACACACCGATATGGTGAGTTCTCCTCGGCCATCGTCCGTTTTTCACTTTCTTGACTCATTGTGTATCCCGTTGTTGTTTAATTTTTACATTCCGTTTCGGTTTTATTGACGAATTTATTGAAACTTTATAAAAATTGTTCTGGACAACTTTTAGCAGACTTCTAAAGTTTTTCTGCTACTCGTTAGAAATTATGGACTGGTCCATTATTTCAAGAAAGGGGTCGTACGCTAGAATAATTAAACGTTCTTCATGTTGTAAATAAAGATTATGCAAATAAAACTCTCCATTCGCTCAGGAGAATTACATCTTTGCATAAAAAGAAACATCATGAACATAAAAAGTATTTTTAAGCTTGTAAAACTGTCTCATAAATGGCTAAAAGAATGTACGAGACGATAAAGTGGTAATCTGCAGCTGAAACATACGAGTCGAATGGACACATTTTGTCTATTTTGGATTTGGCACAGACTTGAAGTCTGAAGTTTCAACCTATCACATTTCAAATCAGTCACCGACATAGTTAAAGCATTAAATTTTATAATATTTTATAATACATATCTGTGGAGTTGCTATAAAATCCATTGGACTCATGTTGTGTCCATCCACAGGGAATCGCATGGAGGGTCGGGCAGAGCCCTCCTGAATCTCCAGTCTTCTCTTTTTAAAATGCCATTCCATGTGGTTATGTCACAGATTTAAAACCCTTCAATCTCTAATACATTGGTCATGGATTCGTCTTATGTACAAAGCATGAATAATCAAAGTGATATAAAAATGATATCATTCTGTGATATCAAAATATAAATCACATAGGGGAACATGGGGCAAAACGGCCCTCTGGGGCAAAGTGGCCCATCGAAATATCTTTTGAACTATAAAAAGATGGTTCTTCAAAAGTCACAAAATCGAATTTTGAAATATCTGCCACCTTCTCGAGCGTCCATTTTTAACCAAGCAGCGTCTCGCTTTACGTAAGAGGTAATTCTACTTTTCACCCTCTTTTTGGAAATAACCCCTCTCACGAAAATCTCTAAAAAATCCGGCAACAATAGAATATCGTTTTGATTTAACATTTTACATAGAGTGTGCACATTTATTATTTATTTGTAAAAATTTCGAGCTTCAAATATTAGGCAAATTAAAATGACGTCTATTTGAAAATTCACATGTCTTTGGGGCAAAACGGCCCACACATGTTATAACATATAAAAATCGTATTGTGCAAGAACAATTGGTTTTCAAATGTAACAATTTTAACATCTGGCTTGTGCCTAATTTCCTTCCGACACATATCGAATGACTAGAATTATGGTAGGGGTTAAGAATACTTTATCTGTCAAAGGTTTGAACGTCTGAGATAAGATGTTTGTGGACGAGTCTTGTAATTGATTAATTTTGGTTTCAAAACCCATGTAACAGAGGGTGGGCCGTTTTGCCCCACCACCCATGGGCCGTTTTGCCCCACTCTCGACAATATTTTTGACCATTGAAAAATCACAGAAGATAGTCCTAGGAAAGTATAAAACACTCGAAAAATGTAAACCACAAACCATTAATAAAGTGGAACATCAAAGTGCGCGATGATTGACAGTTACGAAAATACCCCGTACAGAACAAATTAAAATTAATTTTTTTGGGCCGCTTTGCCCCAGTATATCATTGAAAAGCATGTAAAGCATAAGAATAGACCGTGGACGCTAACCTATAAACGTTGTTCTTAACTTATCTATGTGAAAATACATTGGAGAGGCCAACGTGCAGCCTACTTTTGGATAAACCATTGTTAACTCTGGATGTAATAATCGGGAGGGAAATCCCTCATGGTGTGATAGTTAGGTGGAGCCAGGCCCGTAGCAAGGATTTGCCAAGGGGGCTCATTTTTTAATGATTTCCAGGGTATGTTCACTTTTGATAATATTGGCCCAAAAAGGGTTGCAGCAAAATCCCGAACATGCACACTGACCTTAAACAAACCCAATAGAGAAAAGAATTGTACGTTATTTCCCAGAACTGCATTGTCATTTAAAGGATCAAAATGCATAAATGAAGTCTTACATTTGATCTTCATAGTATTTCCAATGGATTAATAAGTACCTGACCTTTCATTTGACACCAAGAAACAGCTCAAACCATGGGCTTTCATCTAGTTGAAAGCCCATGCTCAAACAGATCACATCAGAGTTGACACTAGATCATGAAAAAATATTTTCGATCTTTCAATTTATACATTTTAAGTTGTTTGCATTAATTATCCATTCATTTTTGATAGGATTTTCAACCATACATTCTTTTAATTCCAAGAGTTATTTAAAACATACTCTTTGTGAAAGGTGGTAATTCACTGCTTTTGATCTCTGAACTTCAAATGCTGTTTTCTATGCAAGTAATTTTTTTCAATTCAGTATTGACCCAATTTTTATCATATTTGATTGAGTGTGTGAGGAACATGTCTCACTAAATAATATTTTGTCCCTTTTCCTTCAAAAATAGGCGCATTGCCTGTTTAAATGGGGTCCGTACATTATACCGAAACCCATTATACCGACGCGCATTATACCGAACCCATTATACCGACGCGCATTGTACCAAAACTCATTACACCGACGCGCATTGTAGCGAAAGGCATACCGATCGCCAAAACCGTCGAACACATATTTAAAGTTTATTTGGAGTAAAATATGAGACAGTTTTAAGTTTAAATACATTATATCCATTCTGATACCCATAGCATCTTTCTGTTCCACCTGAAACATGAGCTCAGGGCTGAGAAGAAATATGATGCCATTGTTTATCATGATGTATGATATCCATTTATTAGAATTGACGAAAATCCTTACAAACGAGAGAACATGTATTTTGAGACGAACAACCTGTCACCAGAGATTGAAAAGCCGCCCATTCGTTCGTCTATTTATTCGGAAAATAACTAACAGTTTTATAGGAATAGTACGCCTTATGGCGACGTACGTTTGATTTAGAACAATCCTCGAAAATGTAAGCCAATTAATTGTCTAGCCTTTAATTCAAGGATCCTTTCTCGAGGGCAGAAAAATGGGATAAAAAATGTAAATAAGAAAATACAGTGAATTGAATTGAAATTAAATGTATCGCATTATAGAGGATGAAACATTTTCACGTACTGACAACATTACGTACATTTTTATGATTGAAAATACATAGCCACATATACAACGCTCAACGCACCATTGGGAAGCTTATCTTGTCTTCTTTAGTCTCCTTTCTAACAGAAGTGAATCAACCGTTACGCATTGAACTTTATTAATTGATGACAAACTATTTTTTGCTGACTGACAATACATATGATTTGAAATAGCGAGCCACATGTACATCAAACCATTGGAAAGCTTATTTAGTGTTCTTCTCATTCATAACAAAATCGAATCAAATGTTCATGGACTGGGAAATCCCGGGTGGGAAATTAAGTGTTAAGCACAGAACTTTAATAATAAATCTCGAAATGAATCTATCTTGATCCAAACTAAACTTAAATAATAAATAAGTACAAGCACAAGTTACATGAAGGTTTGACTTCAATCGTTTTCGGTACAACGCGCACGGATTTCGGTACAACGCGCACCGGTATATTTAGTTTTCGGTACAATGCGCGTCGGTATAATGCGCGTCGGTAGAGGTGATCCCATTTAAATTGACCCTCTCTTACAGGCCTGTCTGAAAGGGTTTAACAAGGGGGGTTCGACTTTTACCCATAGATGGGTTGTGCCGCCTACACACAACAGTGTGCGCGGAACGCACACCTACGCAAAGTGTTGCTGGCGCACAGTGCTGCAAGATAGTTAGGTCTGAGGGTATGCCCCCAAATTATGCACTTTGGTGATTTTAAGAAAATAGACATGAAAAGGAATGACATAACCCAGAAATATTCTAAAATTGAAACAATTTTTTGTTGGGCTGCTAGCTAGATCTGATTCTCTCTTTAAAAGAAAATTTCTGGAAAGGGAGATAGTCCCGGGAGATAGTCGCCCTTCGGCCTACCATGTGATGTTTCCATTCTGATCCTCAAAGCATCTTTCTGTTTCACCTGGCTGAGAAGATTTGAGATGTCATGGTTCATCATGATGTGATGTTTCGTGTTTACTAGGTTTCTAATTTTACCTGAAAATTAGATGATGATTTTGTAGGATTATTTGAGCATCATAAAACTAAATCTTTAATAATGTAAAGATGGCAGCACAATATTTTTTACATTTCATGAAAACATCACCCCTATTCCCTATAATCATTTTAATCTCTATCCTATTAATTGAATGAAAATATACGGTACATGTTAATTGTTTCAAATCTTTAGACAATGAGGGATTTCAAAGAAGACGAATGAAAAAGACGAGAAAGATAAAAATCAACACGTGAAAATCAGGGTGAAAGTGAAAGTAGAAATGTAAACATCACCTGATTGGATTGCAGGTAATTGATGTCAATGCGCATGCGTCAAAGTGGCAGGAAGTCAGCCAGCGAAAAATGTTACGCTAACTTTTCATCACTTTATTCACTTGTATTTGTTGTTTTAACCTTTAATTAGTGGATTAATCTGTATATAGTTGTAGGTGTATATACTGACTATAGATGTATGAAGGATTTATAGGCTTTTTCACTGGGAATTTTACCGTAAACTAAGCCTAGTTCAAAATATTTGAGCGCGAGGAAAGTTTCTAAAATTTTGGGTTCAAAATTCAAAAGTGAACAGACTAACTTTTGAAGATGTAAATACTGACAACTAAGCAAACAATTAGGATTACTTCTGAAAAAAGTATGGGGAAGGACACTGAATTACTTCAGGCAGTGAAGGATCAGGATTCCCAGTCTGTGCAAAAAATTCTGAAGAAGGAGAAGGGACTACAAGGCAAAGGAAGTGAGTTAGAATTTTATTTCTGTCTTTATTCCCATCAATAAGACAACACTGACTGTTTAGATTTGATTATGCAGGCCCGTATCCAGGATTTGCCAAGGGGGTTCACTTTTTCAAAGATTCAAAGGGGTTCACCTTCCCTGACAACTTTTGCCCAAAAAAATACCAAAATCACTTGAAAAGTGCTCAGGTGAAAAACTGCATAATTTTGAAAGAATTTTTGGCCAGGGGAACCCACCCTGACTAAAGGCCTATTATGTCTTGTATGTTATGCTTATAACATCCTGTGGCAAAGCGAATTGGGACCCTTTCCGTCTCTAGCCTCCGGTTCTTCTGGTGGTTTTAAACTATTAATGAATTTATATGAAAACCTGAATATGATTCATTCATTTCAGTTTCTAAATTGATTAACAGGTAAGATGTAGGAATGCATGCCACAAGATGGATTTGCTTGTCACATTGACAGGAACGTGTTATGCCCTAACTTTATTACAAAGTACAGTGTTGTTACAGTGTTGTGATATCACAGATTCAGATTCACTGATTCAGCATTTCAAATTAGATAGACTGTGGAGATTACTATATTGTGGATGACTTGTAAAAAAGTATGTTCATATCAATGTCAGTTTCTGGGTGTATAGATTGAATTGGCTTGTAACTTAATTGAAAATATAAACATACTTGAATGTGATATGAAATGAGATCATACATTTAGCACTTAAAGTGGTGATAGTAAATATAAAAATGACACATCTTTCCCCTTTTTACCTTCATACGTATTTGGATGAATTATATGTTAGATAGCTACATAAAACAAACATTGAATTACATTTGGTCTGAGTTCATACGTGACTTGCACTTCAAATACTGACAGTTATGTACCTTTAACAGTATAAAATGTTTTTATTTCAAATTTATTCTGTTTCACTGTTTAAGTTTTGCCAAGTACTGCATAAGTTTATGTATTCCATGTATAATACCCTGTACATGAATATTTCATATGTCAAGTCAAGTAGGGTTTGTTTTGCCGTTACATGTATATATTTCATGGTTCTGATTCTGCCTGTCATGTATATTGGATAACTATGTCTTAATATACATGTACATAAATTTTTGTTCAGTCAGTTTAGATCTCCCTCATTAAAGTAATTAAAGGTTGATGAATAATGTAGGATGTTTTCATGGATTTGAACATTATTCAGATGCGATACCCAAATGATGTATATTGTTATTAATATACTGTTTAATAAAATGTGAACATATCAAACATGTATATACTCGTATATGTATCATTTACCTGGATGTGAAGTTTAATATTTTTTTGGCTAAATATACAAGGCAGGAAATTCTCACTGAGTTAATAGTTATGTTTGGTTGATATATGATGGGTAGCTTAGGATGAATGCTAATAAAAACATATGAAATAGTGAGATGAGAACGTTTAAAGATAAATCAAACAAATTTAGGTTATGTTTTACTCATTGAGACATATGGTCAGAAAGGTCAATTTCATTGGGAAAGGAAAATCAAGAATATCTGATGGAAAATTAATTGATAGTCTTTGTCATCTGTATATTAATGTTATAAAGGTATTCTTGCTCAGATGTTTACATGTAGACTATTTTTCAATCTTAAGCTGTAAGCTTGGAATTCTTATTTGATAAGTGAATTGAAAAAAGTTGGTTTATCTGACATTGATCTATATCCTTTTGAAATTTCTATGTGTGAGATGCCAGGATGTTTCTTTTTGTTCAGTCCAGAAAGTATACTTTGTTTTTACTAAAATTCTTCATAGATTGAACATTACTGGTAGTCTAATACTAGTAGACAAATCTAAAAGTCTTTTTGAAATGTGAAGTCATACTTTTGTCAAGTGTTCATTGACATTAGCAATAGAACATACTTCCAAGTCAGTGAAACTTTTATCAACCTCTAAGCATGTATTTGTGAAAGTAAAGCTTCCAGATGTGCTGTTGGTTTGATGGTTTGACAAGGTAGGGAGATAACAGAAGATAATAATGATGAGGATGAGGAGGTATTGCTTTCTATTTAGAAACACTTGAGTCAACCAGACTTCTGTACTCATAGACTCAGGTTCCTTTTCTGCCTTTTGGCAATTAGTCAATTGTTCAATTAGTTATCATTACCAATTATAGCAATAAGTGATCAAAATTATTGTCTTATGAATGTCTGTTATATGTTTCAACTTCTTTCCATCTGTCTGTAAGACAAATTCTAATTAAATAAAATTTATTATTTGATGTAATAGCAGTTACAAGAGTGTAACTTGTTTGTTTATTTTTTATGTATGTATGTATATTTACTGAAAATAGATGTTCAGTAAAGAGAGGAAAGTCTAATTTAGAAATGTATCTCCCAGCATTTTCTATATTAGTGTTCTCATACATGTAGATGGGATATTTGCTTATTGGGGGTGTGTACAGGCGTTCACTTAAAGATTTCATAACATCTTAGAGCATTCTTTACCTATTTTGAGCTCTTTCCCATTGACAGAGCATATACCATTCTTTGAAACACTATCTTAAATAAACTGAGAACTCCCTTTTGTAACAAACTTTTCCTTTGATTTCTGAATGGCGAAATTCTTCAAATATCAGGAGTCAAGAAATAGAAATTTCAATATCCAGTATTAGAAAAGTATTCTCAATAAAACTATATTGTATATAATATTAAACTTCAACTATAATTAGAAAAAATATGATTCAACCCCTTAAAAATACTTAAAAACAGGATCCTGAGAAATGGCTTGAATTGTTGTTGTTTAGTATCGTCAAACATGTAAACTACAGAACAATAAAGTAAACTATGGAACAACAATGTAAACTACGGGACAATAAACTTAGGTATCAAACATATTGATTTGAACGCAGACACTCCTGTGGTTACCCGCAACAAAATATCTTCTGGGTTTGGAAATGCAAATAATAATGAAAAGGAGAAAGTTTCCGGAAGTAAAGTAAATCAACTGAAGAATCATACAAAAAATCATAAATACAAAAATGAGGAACTCATTTACTGCTTTTAGAGAAATAAAGAATATCAGCATGCTTATGGTGTCATTTTAAACATAGGTGGTTTTTATATATGTAAAAATCTGAAGACAAATTTTCTCAATGGGTCTTGTGGTTTTCAACAATTGTATTTGTGTTTCTATAATTCAATACATTATAAGAGGGTAACATTATTTAAGCTGCCACACATTCAAAATCTTTATCCCATTTGCTGAGAAGTATATATCAGGGGGGACATGGTCAAAATATTGAATAGGCTGTTATATTCTAATGTGCGTGTTGGATGATTTGTGTGCTTCAATATAAGCTGTTTGGGATGTGTGATTGATTGTACATGTGATACTTTAACCTTTAGCGTGCTGCCGGCGGACTCGTCCGCCGATACTAAAATGTCTCTCACAACTGCCGGCGGACCCGTACGCCCGATTTCAAACTTTTAAAAACTTTACTTTTTCGCGCCATTCGTATTGTCCAATTAGATTGCCCGATTTATTCAGTGCCTAACATGACTTCCTGTTGACCTAGAAATGGCGATATTTCGAAAAATAATTCTCAATTCAACAATTTAAACAGTGTTTTTGTCGTTTTTAGTGAACGAATCGTACAAAATGGTGGACAAATACGATCACAACGAAAATGTGGAGGAAATAGATTACGATTTCGAGCTCTTTAGGCTCTTGGAAGCCGATAACGGTCATCGAAAATAGAAACTAGAATATTTTCTGAATTGAAAAATTGAACATTCGATCGCTGCAAATTCAGATTTGGATTCTGACCAGACGAATAGGCGGAGCGGCGGATTCCGGAGGAGTATTCATGGTATATATGCCCAGTCGTGTTAATGTACGAAAAAATTCATGAGAACATTTTTTTCATGAGCCAGGTTACTGTATCTTCCCTTTGTGAAAATTTTATCCAGATTCATTCAGTAGTTATTGAGATATTAATTATTTAGTCCAGGCATATCATTTTTTGCACTCTTTGAAAAATAAGCCAGTTGCGTGGGATATATTTGCTGAAATAAGGCAGCATGGTAAAGGTTAAATAAATCCAATAAATGATATATTCATTTATGTACTTTTGAATTATATCGTGACTTCAATGTTATAACAGCTCTGTCTCTCATTGTGTCAAGTCACATATAAAATGAATATTTTCGACTGTTACTTATTTGATCTCAAAAATATTGAAGCTGTAGTTTAGAAATATTAGAAAGTGAAATCTCATTAAAAATGCTGAGAATCTGAAACTGATTAAAGTTTAAATCCCAGAGAATTTTGATCCATTTCGAATCTCAGCTTGAAACCCTGAAAGAAAACGTCTGGATCTTTTATACCAACCTATACCAAGCAGTAGGAGATCTTCTCTGGTTATTTTTACCAATTTGACCAATTGTTTTGAAAAGTTTCTTCCTATTCCGTTGATAAAGTTGTAATTTTCTATAATTTTGCTTGTTGCTTTTATTCGATTTGCCGTCGTCAGAAATTCTAATAGAACCCCTGGAACAAAAAACTTTTTGGCTTCCTACAAAAATTTCTCAAAATACCATAATCTGCACATTATATAAAACCATTTTGCAATTTTAGGTTTAGTTCAATGATTTGTGAAATGGTGTTACTGTACTTTAATTTTTTATTATACTTTTTGTATTTTAACAAGAATTTTGTTTGGACTTTAATAAATAAGCAACATGAATTGTTGACTGAAGAGATTTAGATTTTATGTCATTCGCCATTTGATCTTGTACATATTTATGAAATGAAAACATTTAAGTGAACATCATTTTTGGTGAGAGAAAGTCACCAGATTTAATTCTATATGCAATTTCATTGTGTCCGACGCCAAAACCCATTTTACAGAATGGGGAAACAGGGATTGATTGTGTTAGATATGTGGCACGGGTTTCAATCAAAATGTTATTATGGATTCTGCAAGAGTTTTGCTATTACAGGTGTATAATCATAAAACTTA